ATATATATATATATATATATATATATATATAAAGGCGTTTTAAACTTTTCCCACACTCTTGCAATATTCTAAACAATGTTTCTAAACTCTAAACACTACGGATGCACAATATTATCGGCTGATATTAGCTTAGAGTTCAGTATCGGAGATCGGCCATTCCATCAAAATAACTCACCGATATAAAAGATGCTGTTTTTGTGTGACAACCCAGTGACAAGGAGCGCCAGCACAACATGACGACGTCACGCGCGCCTACCTGATCTGATCCGCGCTGCTGGAGGGAGCTTCTCCCTGCGCCTGTGGGCTGCGCACAGGTACTAAATCATTTAAAATAATTTATTTTAAATAAAAAAACAATCCATGCAGGTAGTGTGGCTCATCCATAAATCAGCCAACTGTGCGTCATGTCCAATCTTACTCTGAAAAACGCGAAAGTTGAACCGCGAAGTAGCGAGGGACTACTGTATTTAATATTTAGAATAAAGTGTTGGAGAAACTTCATATTTCACTTTCCATTTAGAATCACCCATGAACCATCTGTTTGATCGTTTGGACGTTCCTTACCTCCCACTACCAGAGGGAGCCGGTGAGTTTATGGCTTGCACCATGTCTGTGGTGAGGGCATCCAGCAGGCTGGTAATGAACTCTGCTTTCTTCCCCTCTGGGCAGCCTGGTACAGATTAAAGATAAAGAACAATGACCTGCATCACAGCACAGTGAAAGCCTTCACACCATTAAATCAGCATGAGCCACCTCAGGCAGAAAACAGCTGGCACTGCTGCAAGTAATCACTCCATCGTTGTCCCGAGCTTCAGGTGATCCCGCTCAGTGGAGGCGACGGTTTGGTTGTTTGGTACGACTTGAAACGAGCATGTGGTGAAGCGTGCAGAGCTCCGTGTAGCACTTCAGACCTGCGAACTTTTACAACTCTGAATGCTCGGGTAGCGCCTTTATTTGCCCAGATGTATGGTTTTAATGGATTACCTAACCAGTGCAAACGTTTCCCTCCGTCTCCCGTCTTCTATGAGCTAACGTCCAACACAGCAGCACATCTCCATCTGTCGTTCTTTCACACCCAACTTTTTGTCTCCTCTTCCTCCTGAGCTGAACATCCGTGGTTTCATCTGCAGAGATCACGTATTTTCCTTCTCTTGGTCTGTAGAAGGTGGTCAGCTGCACCACCAGGTGAAACCAATTAGCATTTTTTACAACAGCTAAACTGGATTAAGGGGGGGGGAGCAGCTCCAACCCGACTGAAGCTTGTGAGAAAATGCATGAATTTTCCGCTGCAGTCTCACTGACTTCTTGAACAGCGAGTCGTGGGGCTGCGTTTTGTGCAAAGACTTATTTATCTGTGGCTACGCTCATTTTGTTGCCCAGCTCCACCTGCTTTGTTCCCACCATGTAAGACCTTCTGAAGACTCACTTCATCAGTCACCACTGGCAGCTGCAGCCAGTGACACAAGAGCTTCACCAGTTTGATCCTGGCATCTGTCTCCAGAGGTGAGAGGTGAGGAAGACCCTGGCGAGGTACACCACAAGGTACCATCTCAGGACAACAACTATTCACACCCAGGAGCAATTTAGAGCTGCCAATCAACCGAACATCTGGTGTTTGGAACTGCAGCTCCTGGAGGAAACGTGCGCAGACACCACCCAGACCTGGAGTCGAACCCACAACCTTCCTGCTGTACAGAAACAGCTGCTTCAACACACCTCAGTGTGGTTTCAATCATATTAATCACAGATTCTGCAGTGAAATTTGGATTAAAACAGATAAACGGAGCTGAACTCGTCTTTAACTCCTGACGCTGCTCAAACAGGAACGCACGCTTTAGTTTCGAGTTACTCTCCCCGACATGATCTAAGGCCAGTAAATATCGAGTTTTGTATTGGCGGTTCTGAGAACATCACCCTACGGTGCATAAAAACATCTCGCAGCCCACAACACCTGCACCTTCCATAAAAGCTGCCGCACATCTGCTGCACAGTCAGGAGCTCGCTCCGCTCCGTCAACCACCAGATGGACAGTTAGGTAAGAGTTCCAGCGCCCGAACCGAGGGGGTCTGGAGGAGAACAAAGGATTGAAAAGGTTGTTTTCTACAATAAATACTCATTACTCATACATTTATACAGTTTATTCACCCCCAACGGTATATTTCCAAAAACTCTGTCATCCCATTTGTTGCTGAAAGATCTGAAAACCTCTGAGGGATTTTCTCCAAACATCATCCTGGTCCATTTCAAACCTAACGAGACCCTCAGAGGCAGGTCCATCCAAAGGACAGAACCCCCCAACCCAAACCGTGTGGTGTCTGCAGGAACGTTCAGACCTCTGCAGTGGAGAAACTAAACGTCTCCACTGACGCATGGCTCAACATCGGAGAGCAGCTCTTCAGGACCAGACTCAGAGGTCCACCTACACCTCAGGGACAAGGGACACTCTGCTGAGGACCAGCAGGTCCAGATGTTGGACAGAGAGGACAGATGGTCTGAGAGGAGGTGAAGGAGCCATCTTTAAACAGAGGAGGAGGTCAAAACCTACAGAGCAGCACAGACTGATCCTCAGCCAGTCATCAGGTGACCCAAACCTCTCTGGAGCCAAACAAAGACCCTGATGACCCTCTGGAGGGAGGGGAGGGATGTCAACCTGCATGTAGGTTCAATGTATCATCCAGTTTAAAAAGCTTGAAACTTCAGTCTCCAAATTTTGACTTGAGAAAGTGATGGGAAACAAAATGTCCAACTACAGAATAAAAGTCCAGGTTTCTTTGTTTTTTAAACTGTTTTTTTTTTTTAAAGAAGGTAAAAGAAGTAACGAGGAACCTGTCAGCTGTCTGTCCAGGAATGGATCTTCCATCTCCATTATTTGAGCTCGTGCATCTTCATCACACTCGGGGGTCTTGTACCTGTCGCATAGAAAACACAAAACACATTAAATGAGTTCGTCCTCCATGTGGACAGATTGGCTCAGTTACAGGAAATACAAGTCCTCGGACCTGGAACTGAATCTGAACTGAACAGAAGAACCTAAAATCTTTCTGGACTCTTCGTTGTGCCTGAACTCATCAAACGTTATCGCTGCAGGAACAAGCTGTGGAGAGAGATGTCTGGACCTCCCTGCTCAAGCTGCTGCCCCAAGACCCGACTTCAGAACAAGCAGAAGATGGACGGATGGTTTACATGCATGGTGGCGGCCATCTTGGATTTTGATGATGTAACCCCATTTTCAATTGTGACCTTTTACACTTGGATGCAGCCACGCCAACTTGTTGTTCGAGCCCCCTCTTTGCTTCATGACGAGGGACAAAATCTCTTTTAGTAGAAACACAGACGTTCATTGTCATTCTGACTACACACCACGCAGTGCACGTTAAAGTTTATTTATTTCTCGGAGGGAGAAAAATGAAACTACCCAACTAGTTTGTAAAAAGATATGTAGCTAATCAAATCAAAACGTGTACAAAAGAAGAACTACGTGATTAAAAAGGACTGTGCACGTAAAAGTATACAATACTGAGACTGATGGATAATTCAAGATAATGAATGTATGAAATTGAACAAACAATAAAAATTGCACAGTTTATACATATTGCAACTGACTGTAGCAGGTTTGTGAGGCGTTCAGGGGTACGTCTCTGAGTTGGAGGGGAGGTGTTCAACAGTCTGATGGCCAAGTGTTGTTGTGGAGTCCTGCTGTCCTGGTTTTAATGCTTCTGTACCCATTTAACCTCCAACAGGATCAGAACAGCCTCACTCCGATGGAAACTGTAGAGTTTCTTATATTTTTGTCACACGTAGAAGGAAACACGCCTGTGAGGCGCGCACACAGAGGAGGAGCATAGAGTGAACTACTCAGGGAGCTCCTCCATCCTCACCGAGAAGAAAACGAGGTCAGGTCAGTAAAACAGTTCAGAACAATCAGCTCTGATGACCCCTCAGGTCCACCACATATCTGTCCATGAAGAGCTGCGTACAGCTGGACGTATCTGTGGGACGAAGACAGCTGAGGAGCTGCAGGACGACGTCACCAAAAGAAGAACTGAGAGGCGGCGTGTCTTCAGGGATCACAGGACCAAACACTGATGAGGTCTACAGAGTCGTGCCCGCTGAATGGCACTGCCTTATCCAGACGGTGCCCACACGTCCGTCACACCGTGGCTGAAACAATTTGTTGAAGCGCAGCGACCCATTTCTTCACATCAACTAAAGAATAAACTTCTAACATCAAAGTTAATGCTCGATAATCCAGGTAAAAACTTACCGTTAAATCGGGTCCTCTGGACGGATTCTTTTTGTTGAATTGTTTCGTCTTTCATGAACATGAAGGGTCATAAAGTTAAAGGAAGATACGAGGGTTAATTCTTTGCTCTCTAGTTTTTATATTGCTTTAAAGTATAGTTTCTTCAACAGAGTGGGGTGGCCAAGGATTAATCTACGAGGGCCAAGGCCACCATTGGCCACCCCGACTCCTCCATTGCACCTGGTGGTGGATAAAATGCCTCCCTCCAGGATTCAAGGTGACTATTGTCATTCACATCACATGTGGTACAAGAGGTGGAATGAAACTGTACTCAAGGTCCCATTTACACCCAGAAATGGCAAAAATATAAAAAGAATCCGTATCCAAGGATCTAAAATATATGCTAAACAATAACGATGTAATATAACATGGTGTATTAAACAGCAGCCTGAACATGAGTCTGTTGTGAGCAGATGGGGATGAATACAGCAGCTTGTGGTCGAGCACTCATCAAAATGATTTTTCACCATCTGCTAGCTTCCTTAGCTCAATAACATTTACTGTCCGGCATTTCATATTCTACTGTTTGTGAATGGATTAAATTACGGTATACAGCATATTATATAAGATTATTATATTGTATGAAGATTGTGTTGTAGTTGGGCTAAACCGACTAAGTAGACCTCATCCAGATTTAACTTAAAGTACTGTGGCTGTATAGAGCCTTTGCTGTAAAGTGGCACTACATGAATAATCTGAATTGGTGGAAGTAAATTATTGTTGTTACCTAAACATCTCAAGAGCCAGTGGACGAAGGACTGGACGAGCATCTACAACTGGAGAACTGAGTTGATTCAAGATGGTACAACTCCGTGAAGAAGACCAACCTTCATTATTAATGCGCACTAAAACAATAATTGTACAGTTTGTTTCTAAACCATAACCTAAGGTGGTGTGACTCATTTTCTCCTGGCGGTTGAATCTGTGCGTTTCAAATGTAATAAAATGAGTGAGCATGTGTGTCTCATTTGACTTTTTGTTTTTCGATCTACAGTAAGCTGCCAGTTCTTTTCACCGTCTGCACACAGTTTCCATTTGGTATTAAAGAGGAGAAAACACTGCAATCTGCAACCGAACCTAATCTGAATTATAATTTTCTTTTCTGAAGAAGGTTTGGGTTTTATTATTCACCCGTCAGTCACAGGAGGGTTGGATCCAAAATGCAGACTGGACACAAAGATCTCCATAAAATATATTTATCTAATAAAAACAAAAAGCAGAAGTGGCAGCACAACCGATTCAAACCTGAAAGAGGCTCAGGGAGATACAGCATGTGTGAGGAGGCTGAACTGGTGAGTGGTGAAACACACTGAATGTAAAGAGCAGAGGCGAATGGGAAAGCGAAGGCGCCTGGGCGGCCATTATCAAGCAGGGACGTGACTGGGCGGCGATTATTAAGCGAAGGCGCCTGGGCGGCCATTATCAAGCAGGGACGCGACTGGGCGGCGATTATTAAGC